CAGTTGAGCATCACTGAGAGCTGCTTGATTGGCCGACTGACTGACTGACTGAGGGATGGACTGATTGACTGACTGGCTGGCTGAGTGGTCACAACTCACACTCCGGCTTATCGAGGTGTTGACGCTGCGTGCGGTTTTTCATAAATTTTCAACTTTTCATTCAAAACAGTTGCCATTTCCACAATTTACACGCACAACCAGCCACTGTTGCTGCAGCTGCAGCTGCTTCTGCTTCTGCTTCTGCCACTGGATGTGGCTGTCGCTGTGGTTATGGCTTCCTTCCTGTCATTTGGCAAAAGCAACGCTAATTGGCTTTTCAACACTTTGCTGCTTCCTGACTGACTATATATAAATACATATATTGATATATATATACATACATATGTATATATATATATATATATATATATATATATATGTGTGTGTGTGTGTACCATATATTTACGAGCTGTGGGTTGTTCCACAGTCGTTTGTTTCTTGTTTCGCTTAATGAATGAGCCCTGATTGCGCACATATCCGCCGGTTAGCTAATTGAGACGTCGACTAGGTGGTGACATACTATGGCAATACGTGTAGTTGACAAATTGCCTATAAACTAGAAAACACGATAAAGCGCCTTCAAAAAGAACTTAATTACGTTAACATTCTTAAAAGTTCGCAAAAGTTATCGGAATTATAAGTTATACATCTAAAATTTACTGTAATTTTAAAGTTTTATAATTATTAAATAGGATTTGGTAGAGCTCAACTTAAGGAAATAATCAGAAAATTATCTGAAGTAAGCCGCATCACCACAAGCAGCTTGAAATAGACAACTTTGTATAACATATATGTATGGATTGAGAACTCAGTATAGATATAGGGCGTGATAATGTACTGAAGGTCAGTCTTTAGTTCTAAGAGATATTCGATATATTTATGAAGGTACTTTGGTTGGGAAGCGACAGATAAAAAACCTGTATGATTTGTTAAAAATAAAAAATATATTTAAAACAAATTATAAACTGAAGCTTGCCCTAAAAGAGTAAACATATAAAATCGTTATTTGAGAATAAGATCATTTAGATAATATAACGATATATAATACGATTTGGATATGGCCAAATCCCTTAAACCTAATATATTCTTATTTCATATTGTGAACAGAGTTTAAGCAGTAAATAAAATAACTTTATGAATTCTATTTTTTAAGATCTTACTAACCTGTTTAGGTTAGTTTGTAGGGTAACTTTCGTTCGTGCACCCATCAGCTCAGCTAAATAAAAAACTAAATTAAGCATGTCAAATAAAATTGTGATTATAATTTCATGCATTCGGAGCATGATATCACTTCGATATGAAACAGCTACTAGTATTTTTGTGGCTCGTCGCACTAGCTCACATGCGAAACCTCGATGATTCGTCTGGAAGCGAAGAAGCCTCTGAAACTACGGTAATAGATCAAAATTTTTGCTGCGCATTTAAAATTGTTTCTATAAAATTGCATTACAGACTGTGCACATTGAGCGCATCAGAATCCACGGGGATCGGCACTTCATGAAGGCTGCTGCCCACATACACGAGGATCGAACTCACTTCGATATCTATGTAAAGCTCGATCGAGAGATGGGCAGCAATTATCTTATTATGAATATAAGCCTACGTCGAAAATTGGAGAACGACATGGATTTTATAAAGCTTTTCGAACTGAAACACATGGATTTTTGTGCATTTCTCAACAATCCTGCCTATCGACATTTCTTTATGAGCTCCATACATCTGCGCGAAGTGTTGGAGTGTCCCATACGCGTGGGCAACTACTCCATTCTAAACATAAGTGTGATTAGTGTAATCAAACCGGAGGAGATGGTCAAAGGCACTTACAAATTCTTTACGGAAATAGTCGAGGTCACGGGCGAGATACCCAAAGTGTTTGCCATGCAGTTGACTACGCAAATAAAATGAGTTATGCGACAAGAAGTAAAGTTTCTACTTTTGTTAGTGGAGGCAGAAGGATTTGAAATTAGGAACGTAGCTTTAATTGCCTTGTTTTGCGAAATCGATTTTAACGGATCATATTTTAGAACTTATAAAAGCGACGAACACTAATTTGAAAATGTTGCCCCTCGTTAGTATACAAAGATCTAGAATATTTCACTAAGAGTTCCTTAATAAAGTTTTCCTAACTACCAAATTTTCTCAAAATCGATAAATACCGATTTTAAGCCGAGATTCCGTGCAAGAAACATCAAATTTCGCTATTTTTACTCTCCTACACCAAACCATAATTTTTAAAAAACTCGCTCCCCTTTTTTTGCATAATATCGATAAATATCGATTTCTTAAAGTTTTCAATGCATATCTTGAATTAAAATTTGATATATGGTTTGAAAACCTTGCACTACTCTCCCTGGCTTGCCTCGTCCATACACGCATACACACACACACACAAGTGCAGCACCGAACAAAGGATACGTAATTACAGCAAGGACACGGTCGAGTGCGAGGGCTGTCGTAGGTCAACCCCCCTCGTGCACTATAAGCCGATTGTTGCCGGCTACCTTCAATTTTTTCTGCCTTTTGTGTTCCGCGCACTTTTCCACATTGAATTTTCCATTGTGCGTCATACGTGAAACGCTTTTCCCTCGACACCGCGTCGCACATATTGAAAATCGTTTAAATCGACAGAGTGCAGCGTCCGATTATTGTGATTATCTCTGGCTATCGCGTGTTTTGCCTGCTGCTTCTTGCATTTCCCGCGGGACATTTGCGGTTTTTCGTCGTAGTTAAGTAGAAGCCATATGTGCGCATTGCTCCTGCAATTTTCTTATGTCATTTGTGTGTAATTAATAGAAAAACAATATGTTCAATGTTCAATCAATGGGGGGAAGCCAAATATGAATAAGAAATTTTGAGGTAAGTCCACTGAGACGTTAGAGCTACCCATCTGACAAGTAGAGGGTGCTCAATATATTTTCTATTTCTTTTTTTATTCAACACTTTAATTACAACTCGTACTAAACCCTGAGCCTGACACCGATCTTCCTTTATTGGCAACTTAACGTTGCAGTGTCTTTTGTTCTTGCCTCTCAAAATATTAAGAGATCTTAAATCTAAACTTTCCTTTATTTAGATTCGTTTGCTTTCGATTTCGATATCGCTTATACCGCGACATCTGTTGTCTCAGAATGGTCAGTGTTTCCTTTCAAATACACTACTTACAGATTAATCAGAGCGGTTGAGTCGGCTGTTGAAACTTAATGTTAGCTTCTAGGTCAATAAAAGCTGTCCTTATCAAAGGTTAAACCCCATCGAAACTTAAAAGATAGATTCCCTGATTTGGATTTTGTTTTGAATTCGAATAGCCATTGGATCTTGCCATTGATTTGGTAATTAAACTAACAATTTGAGTGCCTGACAAGTCATTCAAACCAGCTGATCGAATCTAGCTGATATTAAGAAGCTCAACGATATTCTTGATTTTTGTTGTCTGCGTTCTAGTTGATTGTCTAGTTGATAGTGCAGTTCTCAAAGGAAATAATGAGATGAACACATGTGAAATCGTGCTACTATAAAAAATTCTATAAATCGAGAAATTACTCTGACTTCTGCAGCTATGCAGTAGTCAGCTATTCATGATATATCTGTTGACTTTTTATCTTTCAATGACATAACAAAGAAATCGCTTATCATTCCTCTCCATGGATAGGCAATAAATCTGATGACGAAAACTAGAAAGGTATTTCCAAATTGATAGCTTTTCTCATAGAGCAAACTGCAGAGTATCTGAGTAACATGACCCTTAAGGTCCTTTTTATACCCTGAACCCATTGGTAAAAGGGGTATTATGTATTTGTGCAAATGTATGTAACAGGACGAAGAAAGTATCTCCGACCCCATTCAATATATATATTCTTGATCAGCATCAATAGCCGAATCGATCTAGCCATGTCCGTCTATCTGTCTGTTCGTCTGTCAGTATGTATGAAGGATCTCAGAACCTATAAGAGCTAGAGACTTGAGCTGTAGGTCTTCCTAGTCCCCGCGCAGATCGAGTTTATTTCCGATAGTCGATAACTTGCCCCGTTTCCAAGTAATCGATAAAAATCGATATCGTAATCCTGTTTTTTGAGCAATTTCGGCAAATAATATGAGCTAGAGTCACCAAACTTGACATTTAGCTTCTAGTATAGTATATATGTATCAGGTATCTTTCATTTTATACCTATCGCCTGTCGGAAGAAGAGGGTTCAGGGTATCCCCTCCCGACGAGAACCTCTTGTTATAAATTCATATTGTCTATTTAACCAAGTGACTTCTGGGGTCCTCACCCTACCTTTTACGCTCTTCCTTAAATTCTCGGTATTTTCTCACTTAAGCGTAATAATTATGACAAGGATGTGAAGTTGTGCCTTGCATGTAAGGGTATATCTTCCTGTAATCTATTACAAGAAGAGTATGTAATCTATTACAAGAAGAGTTGAATGCCTAGTGGATGTCACGTTCAACTCTTAAATATATACTATTATAAATTATTCACGGTATTTTATTTCTATAAAAAACTCTCCCCCAAACCATTTTTGCATTTAACAACTTAGCACCCGAGCATGACCCTCTTTACATCTCTAGTGCGTCCTATTCTTGATTTTGATTCTTAATCGTTTCATCAATACAGAATTTAATTTGTACAAAAATAGTTCTTTTTATTTTCCCTCCGTGGACTAAACTGGAATGCTAGTGTTCCGTTGCCATCATATTTTCTTAGTCTTTTAAGCAGTCGTAGAATTATGCTTGGTGGAATATTAATTGAAATACTAATCGCAGCGAAAGCGATTCCACCGGGCGGACCCGGTTCTGTGCTAATTATCCTTCTCTTTCTCGCATTTAGAACTTATTAGCAATAAGAACACCTTAGTCCGTAGAGTATAAGCTGCAGGACTTCGTTTCGTGCGATATGCGATGATTTTTAAACAAAATATTTTCATATACTCTGCGTGCTCTTCAAAACGAAATAAAGAATGTATCATTTGCCCTAATTTTTAGTGGCAATTGCTGGTCAATTTTTTATGGTAATCGAATTTGTGTGGAACGACTACAGTACAATTTTTGTGATAAAATATAAATTTTGGTTGGTGGTCTATATAGTTACATATCTTATTTCGTATTGAAAACGAGTTAAGATATATAATCAAATTTATATATTCTACTTCGTTTGCAAAACGAAATAAAATAGGCCCTATTTTGTATACCTAACTTCGGAATAGAATACTTCCCTACTTTACTTCCATTTATAATATTTCATGGTGCCGAGAATTCATCAAGCCCTTCCATTTCAAATAACGGAGTTATAAGTTAATAGCGCGTTTTGTTACCGACTACATGCCCTTTTTTATGCACGGAAATGTGTACCAGTGCTCGTCAATTCCAAGCTCCTCGCTATCCTCCAGTGAACAGGGCAGCGTATGATTAGTTGTCTCCGGCAGCAGCAGGCTCAAGCAGGCGGACAGCAAAGTGAGCACAACCAAAATAATTTCCGGAAGCGGCGAGAACGTAGCATTCACGTTAAGAACATAGGCACAAATCAATTGGACCACTCTGCCAAAAATATCTACAGCGGCATCTCCCTGGCCACGCACACATGTTGGCAACAGCTCCACAGCGTACAAAGAGGCCGTGTTAAAGGCAACGTTACAAAAACAAATCCCAGTCAATGAAAACATTATCTGTAATGTGCTGGCTGTGGGAGAGTGTACAGAAAGTGCACATAATTAATAAAAAATAAATTTAACTAACAAAAATGTGAAAAGGTAAAGTTAAAATTTTGTATACCCTTGCAGAGGGTATTATAATTTCGTCTCGAAATATGTAACGCATAGAAGGAGACATCTCCGACCCTATAAAGTGAATATATTCTTGATCAGTCTCAACAGTCGAGTGAATATAGCCATACCAGTCTGTCTGCTTCTATGCGAACTATTCTCTCAATTTAAAAACTATCGTCATTGACTTAGCAGGAGCCCCTCTTTCTGTTGCACGCAGTACATATATCGGAACCGGCTGGATCGGACTACTAGATCATATAGCTGCCATAGGAACGATCGGTCGAAAAGTATGTTCTTGTTTGAAAAACTTTTTTTCATCAAGATATCTTGACCACAATCGGCATTTCCAAGTTTTACTATGCTCCTCATATATATACTGAATCCTATCAATATCGGACTACTAAATCATATAGCTGCCATGGGAACGATCGGTCGAAAAGAAGGTCCTGGTATGGAAACTTTTGTTTTTAATTTTTATTAAGATAAGTTGACCAAACTCGGGATTTATAAGTTCCACTATGATCGTCATATGTATTTAAAATCTTCTCAACATCGGGCCTCTATATGATATAGCTGCCATGGGAAATATTGGTGGAAAGTTAGGTTCTTATATGGAGAAATATTCTCTCATCTCATCTCAGCTTCACAAAGGAAAAACAGCTTGGGCCGATAAAATTTGGTTGACACGATGCACATATTACATATTCAAACTTTGGCAAAAAACTGATGATCGATGGAGATTGGAAATGCATGGCCGGGGAATATTGATCAGCAGCTTGATCAGCTACAGACCTAACCTCAGTACACAGTAAACAAGTATGTATACATACATTTTGGATAGGTGGATGGTCAGCTTTAGGTTTTTTTTTCCGACAAAGCATATGTTCTTCAAGTTCTTTAAGTTGTGAGAACGCAATGGAACCAGGTTTATTTTTTCTCTAAATATTATAAAAATCAAGCTAAATAGTAGCATTTTGTAGTGAGTCGTGACTCATCTAACAATATATATTATCTGAAATCGGAACCTGATCTTCAGTACGAATAACTAAGACAATGATTAAATACCTTTGACTTACTGCGATCAGTGGTGGAAGCGCCATCAAATAGACCGATGTTCGTCATCAAGGTAAAAAAGCAACAGCAGATTAGCGATGTGGCAATCATTGCCTTGCGTCCGATGATATCTTGAAAAGCTAAGGCTATCAGCCAAGCAGGCAGAATTGTGGTGTTTCCAATCGATCTCCAAGCAAAGTACGAAAACCTACTACTAGTATATAGTTTACGTGTGATGATAAAGTGAGAAAAGGAAATGACGGCCCTATGTGGATAAGCGGATGAGGGCGTAGAAACAACAGATTGCTGCGAATTTGTGATTCAACTTTCTACTTACATTTCGAACGCCAATATTAAAAGGATGCGGCGTAGGCGCTGCGTCCTGAAGAGGTGCAGCAGATTTGGGTCGATCTTATTATTTTGCTGACTTAATTTGCAGTTCATAATGAATTCTTCATAAACGCTGTCTTCTATTTGGTGACCATTGATCTTAGCCACACGCCTCAGGGACGCTACAGCCTGGTTATATTTTCGCCTTGAGATCAGCCATTGTACGCTTTCCGGCACAATGAAATAAAAGAAGGGCACTATTATTAATGGGATCGAGCTGAAAAGTAGGAAACTACGCCAGGTGCCCAATAGCAGGCTCATCCAAGGTGCACTTATCGCGCCCAAGCAGTAAAAGATGCCGACAGTGATACTCAGGCAAATTGTGCGCAAAGAAGGACGTATATGTTCCACAACTGCTTAGTGATTGTTGATTACATTAAATAAAAACTAAAGCCATTATCCTTCTACTCACGCAAAATGTACATCATTGAATAGTTGGTGTCAGTGGCGAAGCCATTAATAATTCGAAATATACAAAAAGTGAACAGACTGGTACCAAAGATTGTCAAAAAGTTGCCAACCATTGAAATGAGATTGGCCAAAATAAGAGCGGGCAGCCGACCCACTCTGTCCCCCATATAGCCCAGAACAAGGGTGCCTAACAAGGAACCCAAAGAGTACAGTGCGCTTCCCACGTTCAGTTTCCACATATCATCGCATATCCAGTCGGTTTCACTGACGAAACTATGATAGCCCATGTATGACTCATATTTGTAGTGTTTGCAAGAGCTATAGTTAGTCGAATTAGTTTGCAGTGGATGGCAGTTGGATATATTTGGTGGTGCTGCCCCCGAGTCTAGACCATCAGCACACCTGGGCGTTATTGACAGGCGTTAAGTATACGCCACGTTATAAGTATAGTCCTTATACATACCAAAAGATTGGCACATAAGTGATTATCGTTTCAGATTCGTAATGCATGGCCAAGATCACATTAAGCAGACTAGTGAGTATTAGTATGATCAGCTGCATCCGACCAAAATCGCCGCATTTTTCCAAGATTTTGTCCACTTCCAACATTTTGTTATTTATCTTTCAAGCACTTGCTGCATTTACACTCGCTGTGTACCTTTGACACGAACAGGAACTTCCCAGAACTTCCCAGAGTACCGCTGCACTTGTGGCACTTGCATCGCATCTCACTTTGTTTAATTTGTATATTCACTTAATTACTACAGTCATTTAAAGCTTTGAGTTAGCGGTAAGTCTCAGCTTCCTGAAAAACAATTTTATAATTTTGATTTGATAGATTTAACAGAGAATTGTCTGTGTGTGCTATAATGCTAGTTAGATAATATTAAAAACATAGCCATGCATGAAGGCAACTGAAACGCGTTCTGGATATGCGAACAAATGTTTGTCGAGCGAGTAAAGACTCAAAGCTGTTCGAGTTGCAGACAAAAAATTTATTCGGTCCACTCGACGAGTTCAATCGAAGCACGAGAAAGTAACAATATCTTTGGAAAGCCGAAAATTTAATGCCTTTGTAGACATTTCCCAAATGCTACGTTTGTTGAAATATCTTTGGAAACAGCCATCTTGTATTCATATTTAGCCAAGCGTCAGATTTATAGTTATCTTGATGAAACTTGGCACCGGTTCGTATTTTTCCTGCAAACATTTTTAATGTCTATATAAATCAAACTTTTTGTCCTGACTGACTGACTTCAATAATTTCTAAATTCACTTCTCTTCAAATAGAAAATGCCTTCAAAATGATTATTTTTAGCTTTATGTAACACAGCAGTTAAACTATTAATGGTGTAATATTTATGTTAATAGGACGAGTAGATTTTAACTTTCCACGGGTGGAAAATGGGTGAAGGATTTATATCTAAAATGAGAAGAAAAGCAATTGGCATAGAATATTTATACCCTACCTTCATATATCGCATTTCATGGTGCTAAGGAGTTATCAAGCTCTTCCTAAAAAAAAAGGATAACTTAGTTGATACGAAATGCAACTTGCCACCTGCCGGAGCTAGTCTATTTACCGGCTGCGTGCGCTTCTTTATGCACCCAAATGTGTACCAATGCTCGTCAATGCCAAGCTTCTCGCCATCCTCCAATGAACAGGGCAGCGTGCGATTCAGTGTCTCCGGCAACAGCAAGCAAAAGCAGACACCCATCAAATTGAGGACGCCCAGAATGATTTCCGGCAACGGCAAGAAGACTGTAGGCACGTTCAAAATGTATTTTATGCATATTATGTACATAAGGAATGCATCATTGATAGCACCCAATGCCTGGCCACGCACACATGTTGGAATTAGCTCCATGGTATACTGGATATTTGAGTGGAAGGAAATGTGGCAAAGAATGCACCCAATTACGAAGAACGTGAATAGTACTGTGGGGGAAGAAAGTATGCATAGTTTTATTTGTGGGCAAGTATTGTAAGCGAAACTAAATAAAATATCCAAGAAAATTTGTTTGTTTTTAAATTGGTTTCATATTTTACTCATTGTCTAGAAGTAGAAGAAGGTATAATAATTCTGTCATGAAGACCATAAAAGTGCAAGTAAAATTAAAACACAAACATCTTCTTATTTCCAGTTCAGCTTTAAATATTAGTTTTCACTTACATACCGGTTAAGTTATTATTATCAATATAAAAAAATGAAGATCATCATAACTTTATATGTATATATTCGAAATTTATGCAGTAAATAAAGAAAAATTGTAATATATTCCTAATTCAATTTCAGTGTTTCATTAATAACGTAAATAGGGTGGGTTGGTTTTTCCAAATCGGTGAAAAATGAAAACTAATAAAATTTTTAAGCAAGAAAGAAACTAGTTCGCAACACAACTATTGGAACCTGTTCTTCAGCACAAACAACTACGTATATATAGTAAAATATATAAGACTTACAGCGAGTAGCAGCGTGTGAGACGAAGACGCTTGATAGTGAGAGGAGAAGGACAATAAGGAGCCGTATTGTCAAAGCCAAGGCCTTGCGTCCTATGCGATCTTTCAGGATAATTCCCGTCAAGCAAGCAGGCAGAATAGTAGTTGCGCGCAATGAGGACATTACAAACGGCGAAATCTCAAAACGACGCACATAATATACGATGAGTTTACAGTAGTAGGGAAGTACGATGCTATGTAGATGGGCGAATGAGGGTGTAGAAACAACAGATTGATACACATTAGCAAGTTCATTCGATCAGGTGTTTACTCACAATTCAAACAACATTATTAAAAAGGTTCGGCGTAGGCGCGGCGTCCTGAAGAGGTCAAGCAGATTTGCGTGTTTCTTCGTACTTTGCTGACTTAATTGACAGTCCTTAATGAATTCTTCAAAGACGCTGTCATCAATTTGGCGGCCATTAGTTTTAGCCACACGCTTTAGGGAGGCTATAGCCTCGTCATATTTCTGCCTTGAGATCAGCCATTGTACGCTCTCCGGCACAAAATAAAAAAAAATCGGCACCACAATTATTGACAGCATTTCGAGAAGCATGAAACGACGCCAAGAACCCAAGAGGATTGCTAACCAAGGTGTGCTTACCATGCCCAAAAAGAAAATGAAACCGAAGCAGATGTTCAGGCAAACGGTGCGCAAAGACGGACGCATATATTCCACAACTGCGAAATGATTGTCGATTAAATTAAACATTCTATAATGCTGTGATTGTTTTGCTTACTTAGAATGCGAATAATAAAAAAGTTGCTGTTAATGACGAAGCCGGTAATAAAACGAAATATACAAAAAAGTTCCAGACTCATGCCAAAGATTGTCAAAAAGTTGCCCAATATGGTTATGACATTGGCCAGAACAAGTATGGGCACCCGACCCATTCTATCTGCCAAATAGCCCATAACTAGATTGCCTATCAAGCTGCCCGCAAGGAACACGGAGTCTCCCCAGTTAATTTTCCAATATTCATCGCATATCCAGTTCATTTCACTGACGAAACTCTGATAGCCCATGTAATGCTCATAGTTGAACTTTTTGCAGGTACCAGAATTGGTTGAATTAGTGTACAATGGGTTGCAGTCGGAATATTTTGGTGGTGGTGCCCCCGAGTCCAGCCCATCAGCACACCTGGGTGTTATGGACAGAGGTTAAGTATACGCCATGTAATTAAGATTCTTATATATACTAGAGCCCTGCGTCGGTTAGTTCATGTGAATCAGGCTCGGATACTCAATCGACAGACTCGAGCTTTCGACTAATTAGCTGTGAAATGATCGAATAGACTTTATTCAAACATACGCACTACAAAACTAGTAGGTCGAACGCAACCAAAATAATTGAATTTAATGTGAACTAGATTAGCTCGAGCTAATAGTTTGATTAAGCTGAATTTTCGGTGTCGGGTATCCGAACCGGGTTTCGGTTGACTCGATGCAGGGCTCTATTACATACCAAAACTTGGGCACAGTATTAAGGATCGAGTACGATCGGAAATGCATGGCTGATAGTAGATTGATCAGAGAACAGAGTAACAGCATGATTAGCTGCTGCCGACTGAAATCGCCGCATTTTTCCAACATTATGTCGACTTCCAACATTCTGTTATGTAAGCAAGTGCTGTATATGTTAAGCAAGTGCTGCGTTCAATTCACCATACACGTTTGTCCAGAATAAAGAGACTTCCCAGAACTCGCTTCTAGTTAGTCAGTGCCCTCATCGTACCGCTGCACTTGTAGCATTTGCAACGCATTTCAATCTATTTCATGAAAAAACAAATTTTATAATTTAGGTTTGACAGATTTTGCAGAGACTGTCAGTGTGTGCATAATGCTTGTAAAATAAGATTAAAGAATATCAAGTGTATTACCACAAACTAGTGTAAGCGGGATGTCGTGTTCTTTTGATTATAGCTTACGAATGGGGCAAGGGCTCTTCTCACTCTCATACTACATACCATCGTTAATAGTTCACTTTACAATACATTACAATAACAAAATTACCACACAAGTAGATCTCCACATTTTGGTATGACTAGTCGATGTCCGTCCTTTCGTCTGTATATATGATCGCTTTGACATTAAAACAAGTAAGTGGCTCTTGTCGGGAGTTCTCGACTGGGGAACACCCTGAACCTTTTTCTAACAACACCAAATTCAGCTCGCGCTACACCCCCATTTGCTTCAGCAGTAATAGAAATTAATTTAAAAAGAGAAGTGTTTCCTTGATAGGTCTCGAACTCGTAACAGACCACACTACTTGCCGCCGCTCCTACTTAACAGCCACACCAATAATTGAATCCTGGTGAGAAAAAAACGAATTAAAATAGCAGCACAGAAAACAATACAATCGCAACTGCAATGCTGTTGATAGAATAGAATAAAGACGCGCATAAATGTGTGTGTGTACATGTATACAGAAATATTTGGAATTTGCGCTTGCTGCCCGCTGATACAAGCTGATACATTGGCAAGCCACGTGGCTGCAAGCGCAAGAATTTCTGTATATGTGTGCATACATTACAAATTTGATGGTTTAGTTCCTTTTTTTATGAGAGATATAATTTTTGGTAAGACTGAGAGGTATAATGCGGTGGCAAGTAATTCAATTCGCGAAATGAACTCTGTCGTGCAGAACGATGATCTGGTTGCCGGGATTCAGTCTGCCTGCATCTGGTGGCCCATTCGGGCACCCTGCAAATGACCTATCTACTGCTCTGCAAAGGCGCCAGGTCCCAGTTCTGTGTCAATATTGTTAACAGCGAATTGCGAACGGCTCTCTCTCTAATGTGCGCCGTCATGAATGATAAATGCAATATGCGTACGCAGTTCCTCCAATGCGGCGCCGATGTGACCATCAAGGGCCCCGATGGCATGACGACTCTCCATATTGCCGCAAACCTGGACAATCTGGAGGCTGCCGAACTTATTTTGGGAAGTTATCGAGGATCGCGCAACAATGCCAACTGTCTGAGCTATACTAATGCCCAGGATAATGTTGGTTGGACGGTCATGGTCTAGGTAACCGAGCAGGGACACATAGATATCGTTAGCCTGTTGATCAATCATGGTGCAGATCCGAACACGGATTTTCAACTTTAACTATATTTGTTAAACGGCATACTGGCTATAGGTTTAATTGAAGGGCATAAGTATACGTGAAATCCAAATTGCATCTCCTTCCGTTTTACTGATCACTGATATTGTCTTTCGATCGTGATTTAGCGTGTATATGTCGCTGACTACTCTACAAAAATAATTCACACAATTCGATTAAGATTCCACAGCACATCATCGTCGTCAACAGGCCTGCTGACATCGTTGGATTTTACTAAAGTAGTGAGTACTGTGTGAACTAAATAGAAAGGTAATAAGCCAAGCAAATAATATCAAGTGCATACCCTATGTAAATTAAACATATTATTTGAACCGCGGTTATAGTCAGCGGGTCTACTCCTAATCAGCCTTCGTAATTGCAGATGATTTCTTTTTGTTCAATCGTGCAGACCAGCTGTATAGTATTTTTGAAGTGTATTTTTGAAGTGTAATCTCGCTCTTGTATGCTTTTGCCCAGATTATGTTTAGTTTTATATCTCACCGTTATTTTTTTAACGCTATGTATAATGAAGCACTATCATGAATTTAAATAATCTTCGAGTACAATTATATGACAAAATGAAATCTTAATTTTCTTTGGGCACCTTAAGTAAATAACATCGCATATGAAGGGAAGTTGCCACGCCACTTCCCCTGAGCACGGTCGGAACCCGTAGACGGAATACGCTTCCAATGCACAACACGAGTGTTAGGCGAAATATGCCCAGCGTAACGGTCGTGTTCGTTACAAGCTCTTATAACTTAAGAGATTTGCTCAAAAAACAGGATTTCGCTATCGATTCTTATCGAAAACGGTGCAACGGTAATTATCGGTAATAAACTCGTACTGCGCATGCACTAAGAGAACCTACATACCCAGTCTCTAGCTCTTATAGGTTCTGAGATTCTCACATATACAGACAGACGAACATGGCTAGATCGAGTCGGCTTGCGATGCTGATCAAAAATATATATACTTTATGGGGTCGGAGATGCTTCCTTCTGCCTGTTACATACATTTGCACAAATACATTATACCCTGTTTACCCATTTTTAATGGGTTCAGGGTATAAAAAGCATCAGTCGCAGCGACGTTGCGCGCTGAGCGAAAATGAGGCTTCATACTGATCGTTCGGCTTTCGAGGCCGGCGTTCGACTGCCACTCTCAGCAGTCTTACTCTCTCTGGGCATAACAAAATGGTCACAGGCACCCATGGGGATCACTCGTTGCGATTTATCGTGATTCGATTATTCTGCTGTTTGACGTATCTATGCATTGTATGATTATTGCTAGAATTTAATTCTGATCAATTATCCCTTAAGCAGCCACAATAAATGGGGGAGGCATCCACGAAGGAAAATATTCTTAATCTAAATATACTATACGAGAGCTAACAAAACAAGTTTGGAGTATCAAGCTCTTATAATTTTCGATTTATTCATGGCATGTCATGTCTGAACATAGATTTCTCTCAAACAGATCAGGCAGATCAGGAAACTTTTGAAATTTTTTAATTGGTAAACTTTTTGTTAAGTAAATCTAACTGTAATTGATCATATAAATACATTGTTTGTATGCTAAAACTAACCTAGTGAGCGACTTTGATGATCATTTTAAAATCGTTTTGAAATTTCCTGACATAGTAACATTTATTATCATTCAAGACAACCACACGTTAAGACTTGTTGAATTCTTTGTCCTGGTCGGAGGTGGGTGGGTACAGAACAGGGTGAAGCCAACACCTTAAGTATCTTGAAAGTCCATCAGTCATACCACAGCTTGAAGATCTATTGAATGGCAATTTTGCTATTGTTATTGGCCTTACAGTGCAGTTGTTAATGATGGTGTGCAGTATAAGAATGAGAAGAACCCTTACCCCATCCGCAGGCTGTAGTAAGAAGAACACGTCCTCAAAATTGCCGCTATACACAATTTGGTGGTAATACCAAAGACAATATAAACATATATTGTCTTTGGTAATAGACTTGATATTCTTTAACACAACACGTGCTTGACATATATGTAAATAACACAATGTTGGAAGTGGACAAAATGTTGGAAAAATGCGGCGATTTCAGTCGGCAGCAGTTAATCTCTGATCAATCTACGAGTCAGGGAACCGAACCGCGTTTCAGAGAACAGAGTAACAGCATGATTAGCTGCTGCCGACTGAAATCGCCGCATTTTTCCAACATTTTGTCCACTTCCAACATTGTGTTATTTACATATATGTCAAGCACGTGCTGCATTCAATTCACCATACACCTTTGTCCAGAATAGAGAGTTCCCAAAACTCGCTTTTAGTTAGCCAGTGCCCTAACTCTATTTCAAGTAAAAACAAATTTAATATCTTTTGTTTGACAGATTTTACACAGAACAGCCAGTGTGTGCATAATGCTTGTAAAATAAGATTAAGGAATATCATGTGTATTACTACCATCTATATTTATAATTATATGATATTGTGCGGTAAAAAACAATTACCACACAAGTATGACTGATTGACTTTCAGAATACTAAAGTTGTTGGATCTATCCTTTTCTGTACCCACCCAACTCAGAGCAGGTCAATCTACTTTCCTATATCACATTTGGCACCGACAAAAAATGCAATAAGCCTTAAAAGGTGGTTACTTTTAGTATCCGAATCGGCTGGATCGGACCACTATATAATAAGCTGTCATATGAATATTTAGTCGTAAATTAAGTTCTTGCATAACGCAGCATTTATTGGTTTTTCTGGTCTCCTTTTATGCCTTATCTTATCTTATCAACATCGGTCTACTATAAATTATAGAACTATTGACAAAATCGATCGCATACGTTTTGCATTGCAAACGTTTCTAGATATTGAGATAAAAAAATATTGTGCAATAAAAACAGATCCCGACATTTTTATTCTTACAAATTGGAAAGAAGCGAATAATTTTAAACTTCTGCAGACATAAGACAAGCAAATACTTTGCATTCCATGTAACTATCGAAGGGATCTTTTCAATATCAGGAAACATTCTGAATCAACGTCGAACACATTTAATGAGTTGAAATTTGAATTCTTGTACAAAAATATAAACTAAACCAGCTGGTATATGAGTTTGAAACCGATCGGACGGTAAATCAATTAACCGCTGTTGCGAGCGAAATTTCCGGAATCCCTGAATCACGGATTCATTAAGTTCTCATGTAGAGCTTTGAATTTAAGATTAAAGCAAATCAGACAAAACCCAAAAACAAAAATAATGTTGCCAGATGTAGACGCCATATAGATCAAGAGGTCAAACCATGAAGAAAGACCCAAACCACGTGAAAATCGGATGTGATTTTACCGAGTAATGGGGGTGGGAAATTTTTACCTTTGTCTAATAGGATATTTGAGGGTACTATTTCCACAAGAATTTTTACCAAGAATAATGTTGCCAGACTTAGATGCCAAATTGATCTATATGCCAAACCAGGGGCAAAGACCCAAACCAAATAAAAATCGGATGAGATTTTACCGAGTAATGGGTGTGGGAAATTTTGACCTATGTCTATATAGGATATTTGAGGGTACCAACCGTGAAACACGCCACAAATGATTGCAAAATAAAAATGCATGAAAACTGCAGAGCCTACTTCAATTTTTGAGAATCGAGAAATAAAGCGCTTGGTAGAAAAATAGTTTTGTTTAAATTTGCAGCACAGGCTTGGTTTGCGTTTGGTATTAGAAAACAAACGCGCATGCCTACATATGAATATTCATAACACACACGAGCCAACACACACACACCCGCACGAAGCGGCTCTGGTTATCGCAGGGATGGTCTCGCTTAATGAACTGCCAACTGAAGCGGTAGTTTGCCATAAAGCTCATAATGGACACAGCACAGCAAAATCTGTTCGCACTGAAGCAAGGATGCGGAGCATAGCATGAATAGCATAAAATACTTATATGCCTTCGTACAAAATACTTGTATTATTATATAATTTGTTCCATCTATAAGTAAAATAAAGTTCAAGTTATCTTAAGATACTTCATAAGATACATAAATTCGAATCAAATGTTTATCAAGTTGAGATTTAAATAACCCTTATCCATTGTTTATTAAATTGAGTTTTAAATATCCGTTATTTTTCCAATAGATATGATTTCCAATCAACAAAATCATGCTTTGAAATTTATCAGAAAGTTAATAAGACTTCATAACATATCGCATTGAGCCAGCCCATGGTATAAGCCATTAAAACCTTGCCAACCCATTTGGCGTGCTGTAAAAAACGTTTGTAGTTTGTGTAATATGATATTTTAATGGACATGTCTAACCATTTTTGCCAGTTAATTAAAATCCCTAATGCGGTTTACCTTGGCCTTTTTCGAACAGAAAAGGGGTTGGACCGCCGCCTCGGTCGCACCCTGATCCGAAGGCTTTTCCACGCACAATCAAATCATTTCGCAAATTCAATTTGCCAAAAGAATAAAAAACGAAAAGAAAATGAGAGTTTCGAAAGTAAATGGAAATTCAAAAATGGAAAATCCAGTCAGAGGCACATTCCTGCAAGTTCTCCTTTAAGGATTTCGTGTCCTTCGTGAAGTGCGAATGCCTGCCATCATAAGTGTCACACTTATGTCTGACCTTTGCAAATTCAATTTGTCGCCTTTTTATCTATAAACATTTTTCTATTAGACTCGACGAGGGCGCGTTTTTTTTTCAATTTTCCTTGGCCTAAACATTGGAATAGCTTAGTAGGCAGGGATCATACGTATTAGATGGCCAATAAATAGTCGATACTTTTCGTCATATGTATTTTATGGGGTGGGCAAAAACTTCACACTTGACAAGCAGGGTCGCGATGAGATGATTTTTGGTGGGATCTTGAGATTATTTTATAATTTTGGTGACACGTCATCAGATTGGTCTGGCTTATTGACAGACATTATTCATTTCAATACACTACACTAAAATCAAGCCTAGGAGCAGGAGTAGCTCAATGTTTCAGGTTCAACTGAATAACATAAGCACGGTTTGTTGCTGACAAGAAAAGACTGCTCGCAGACAATGTCGCTGACAAGTCGTTTAGAGTGTCCCGCAAGACGCACAGCATGACAGAACATCAAGCGAGTCATGCAACATTTGCGTGGCAATATCATTATATTCATTAAATTTAAATAAATTTAATTACAACAATTTTAACAAATAATAATTATAATTTAATAATATATTAAATAGAGCTGTGTTTAAGACAAATTCTATGCATCTGGTTTCACTGCAGCACTGCCTGCGATAGAACTCCACGGTCTGGAGCATTCATGTGTGTATCTGTGACATGCTATCACACGCGAAGAAATTGAATCAATCAAAATCGATTTTACTGGCTACAAAGTCAGCTGCAAATTCAATTTGAGCAGGAATAAGAAAAAAAATTTCAAATAGCAAATGGAAAATGTTGGCCCATGCTTTGACTGCCTGGCTGGCGTCAGTTGGCAATTTTGAGTTGCTTTGTTGGTTCCTTGGCCCCCAAGAAACTTTCGTAATTAAAAAGGCGTTGAGTTGGGCAATTAAACACACGAACTTGGCGAGAAAGCTCGAGGACTTGAGAGTAATTCACCAAAATAACGCAATGTTGCGTAATTCAGTTTCACAGTTTTGTAATTAAACGCATTTGCATAAGAATTGCAGTGGACGATACGAAACGCCGCAGGCATACTTCCATGCGACTCTAATTAAAACTAGCCCCTGAAAATGAATGTATAAAAAAAAACCATTTTATCCCCACGACAATTAAATGTGGCGGCCCTGCGCCTCGCATATTGCTGAGGTCTGGTCATCCATTAAAGGTCATCAAACGTTGCCAAGTGGCGCAATGCCAGCGATTCGACGGGTCTGGCAATATCGTTTTGTTTTCCGCATGCCCCACAGGAAGTTTCCAATGTCCGGCAGAGCATACTACAACGACAACTTGGACAAATCGTAAGCCAAATAGAATCATGCTAAAGTTCTAAGAATTATAAAATATACTAATATGCAATGTGCGTAAAAATATCTAATCTTTAGATTAGCTTAGATAATACATATCAAAGGTTACAGACCCTCAGACAGAACAAAGCCGCCTCAGTATTATTAGTGGAAATCAAATAAAATACCAACGTTTGAATCTAAAGCTGTATCCATGGATGTGGATTACCAGCTCATACGCAGAACCTCCGACTATTCCTATCATTAGTAAGGCATCAGAGGATGTGCTCTGCTAAGTCCCCACAAAAACGAATTAAACCAAGTAAGAGGCTCTTGTCGGGATTACCGACTAGGGGATACCCAACCGTACTCGCTACTGTAGAACCGTAACAATGGTTAGTATCCAATAAAAAACAAGTAAGAGGTTCTAGTCGGGAGCTCCCGACTACGGGATACCCTGAACCCTCTTCTTCCGACAGGCGATAGGTACAAAATAATAAATACTTGATATATATATACTATTCTAGAAGGTACATGTCAATTTTGGTGACTCTAGCTCATATTATTTGCCGAAATTGCTCAAAAAACAGGATTTCTATTTCGAATTTGATCGATTACTTGGAAACGGGGCAAGTTATCGAATATCGGAAACAAACTCGATCTGCGCGGGGACTAGGAGGACCTACAGCTAAAATTTCAAATTTCTCTAACGCTTATAGGTTCTGGGATTCTTGCGTTCATACTTACGGACAGACGGACGGATTAATGACATGGGGATTAGTAAAAAGTATAATTTTGTTAAAGTTCGGTCAAATTATATAAGGGGAGAGGCTCGTGACAAAATGATATTTATATTTTATTGGGAATTTTCGAGCTCCTAAGGTACATGGATATTTTTTTAATAACGATTATCTAACTGACTAATTCATCTATTTAAGCTGGGCACTCGGTGAAGCTGTCTTGATGAAATTTCGTACACCTGCTTCTTTCTGATATTACATATTTCCAGTTCATAGTCGAGTTCGAGCATATTTCTAAAATGAAATTCTCAATAATCCTATTTTTTAAAGATCTTCTTATATGATTCCAGAACTAGATATATAGCATAGATAATAAGGGCAGTTTTTTTTCGCATATTCGGTTTATTGAAAACGCATCAGCATTAATAATCAGGTACGCAATGAAGCAATCATCCCGATGGTATCACAATAATATGCTCGGCACTTGCTTCATTGGATTTGCCTGCACGCATGCTTAGCTAATCTCTGAATCTATGATCCGCCGCAAATAAACATATCGTAAATGGGTTCTTGCAAACATCATATGAGCCTAATTAAGAGCCCATTACTCACCCTCTGTGTAAATAGATACGTAGACAAAAAAATAAAAATAAAAACCGCAAGTTAAGCAACCACCCCATTGGCTAAGGGTGGCATACAACGTGTTGCGTTTGCTTTGGCAA